TTCCCACAAATAACCTCCGAAGTTTTACAAGTTGGCCACGTTTTAAAAAATGCGTACAATTTCGTATTATGTTGAATATTAACAACCGGGAAATTTATATGATTCGAACCGGGAAAACCGGGAAAAAATCGGGAATTTCAAAATGAAAAGTCACTAGCCACCCTGTGTAAAATCGATCTCTTCTTATGTGGTATTGACGCATCGATAGATCATGGATGTTTAACTTTTCGCAGCTGTCGGATTCATCGCGCCTACGTTGACTTCACGCAGAAGTAATACTAAACATATAGTCAAAGTATAGTTCTCCAAGCTCAAAAAAGTTCCTAGAACTTCCGAAAAGTCGATTAAACTACAGGTAGTCCTACGAAATTCATGGGAGCTCTCCAAACTTCAGGGAATTTCCAAGAAATTAAAGAAAGACCCACAAACTTTTGGAAAACCCTTCGATATTTAAAGCCTTATGAACTTCAGGAAAGCTCTTCTAAATTTAGGGTCCTCATATATTCAGTTAAGTCCATCAAACTTCAGGGAAGTCCTCAGATCTTCGAGAAAGATGTTCGAACTTGAAGGAAGTCTTACGAACTTCGTGGTACTTCTACGATATTTAAGAAATTCCTATGAATTAAAAAAAAAAACTCCGAACTTCAGGGAAACCTTAAAAAATCCTTCGAACTTCGGGGAAGTCCCATGAAATTCATGCAATACACACTTCAATTAACCCTTCAGGAAAGACCTTAACGCTTCAGGGAAGTTCTACGAACTTTAGGGAGTTTCTATGAACTTCAGCAGTCAGTCTTTTTAATAATAAGAGTTATTAAACCAGCGTTGTTTATGAAATCTTTTAATCATATGATTTTGAAATCATGTTGTAATCAAAATTCCGCTAAATAAGATCCTTAATCGTTGACAATTTGCGGAAAATTTAAACAAACTGGAAATCCGTAAAATTGTTAGAAGCAAAGGTTTGTTTAAAGAGTCCTCATTCATACCACACTTCGCAATTTCACCTTGAGATAAACTAGCCCGTTGGCTAAAAATCTCAATAATACAGTAAAAAAAAAAAAATCGCAGTTTCAAAAAGAGAAATCTCAAGGTTTAGGGGCTTATAGATCTCTAAATTTCAGACATTAGATAGGGTTCCGCGCTAGTCCGTCGTATTTCAGCTTTTCTTCGTCATACACCCCTAAAATCGCTCATTTTACGGGTTATCGCAAATGTTTCAGTGTCAATTGTAATTAATCTTGTAAGCAAAGATGTTTTTGCAAAAACATGAGTGAAAACGCTTTGCTATTATAGTTTTAGCACATAGATCGGAAATAGGCGCCATGATACGACGAAGTAGCGCGGCTCCCTACTAGCTTCTTTACAGCAAACAATCAGATAAAGATTTCACGGGCATTCACAAGAACCTTAATCCCTATTTTGGTTTGTGAAATTCCGCATTGCGCGAAGAATGATGGTACAAGGATTCACTTTATTTTTTTTTTATTAAAAATTGTTTTTTAAATACATGGTTTTTAAAACCAGGGAATTTTTAAATCATTGACCAGGAAAAAACCAGGAATTTCAAAATGGAAATTCACTTGCCACCCTGTAAATGCGGTAATAGAGGTACCAGACATGTTTTGCACTGCACTGTCCTATGTGAACAATTAACGTAAAACAAATTATGTGTAGTTTCCGATAGATGTCACCGCCAACAACAGCAGTGATGTCTTGTGGAAAATTAATGCAAATTATGAATCACAAGCGACAATAAACAAATAACCGAAGCAACTATAGAATCTACAAACAAGACAACCAGAGTGGCGAGATGGACCGTGAACGGTCTCAGCCGTCCAGCATCTAGGACACAACAAAGAAAGAAAAAAATGAATCGGGCGTGACTAGATACCTACTACAGAATCAGTACGTTTGGCATATCAAAACAATATAATTTGTAGTTCTGGTGCAAGGCGTAACAACCAGATGCATCATAAAGGGCGAACACGAAATTATTGCGACACATTCAACAGGGCATAAATTTTTTACCATTGGGTAAAAATCAACCAAATTTTGCACACTTTCTCATTGATGTGTATTGTGTACATGCTGTCAAACTCGAAGTCGTGTTTTTCGATTCAACGAAAATGGAGGTGAACCAACGCGAGTTGAGAGAACAACCGGCAGTTGGGAAAAATGTTGAACATTCACCATTCAACCGTCTCCAGAGTGTTGAAGCGGTTCCAGGAGCGGTTGACGTTGGACCACGGCAAAGGAGCTGGAAGAAAACCGGGACCGGAGAACAAAAAGACGGAGGGAAAGGTGAAGCGGATGATTAAAGCAAATCCCAACGTCTCAAGCCGTGATTAGGCTAAAATGATCGGCATGTCGCAGAGCTACGTCCAGAATGCAAAGAAGAGAGCTGGACTACATACATACAAGGTACAGAACTTCCCAAACCGCGATGAGCGGCAACAATCGACGGCTAAAACTCGGGCACGGAAGCTCTACGAGAAGATGCTGACAAAATATGGCTGCTGTGTGATGGACGACGAAACGTATATAAAAGCCGATTTTAAGCAAATTCCGGCGTTGGAGTTTTTCACCGGCAAGAGCAAGTTCGATGTGGACGACAAATTTAAGAAGAAGAAAATGTCGAAGTTCGCCTCCAAATATCTCATTTGGCAGGCCATCTGCTCTTGCGGACTGAGGAGTGAGCCTTTCGTGACAAAGGGCACAGTAAATGGCGAGATCTACAAATCTGAGTGCCTCGAGAAGCGCCTTTTGCCGTTCTTGCAGCAGCACGACGAAGCTCCGCTATTTTGGCCAGATTTGGCATCATGCCACTATTCTAAAAGTGTCCTGGAGTGGTATGAGGCCAATTCTGTCCATTTTGTTCCAAAGGACATGAATCCGCCAAACTGTCCGGAGCTGCGCCCGGTGGAGCAGTACTGGGCAATAATGAAGCGGGAACTTCGGAAGAGCAAGAAGACAGTCAAAGACGAGAAGGACATGTTAAGAAAATGGAAAAAAAAACTGAGAAACTGGTACCGGATGACACTGTAAAGACTTTGTTGGAGGGCATCAAGCGAAAATGCGTTCAATTTTACACTCAAGGCTCCATCGATTAACTTTTCTTTTGATTTTTGAAGTAAATATATGTATAAAACTACCCTAAAATTTTGGTTTGATTCTAAACATTATAAGAAAATTGGCATGACATTTTCGGTGTCGCAATAATTTCGTGTTCGCCCTTTATTATAACACAATTTTATGTCCACATTGACGCTCGTATGTGCCAGTCTCAGAGCACCTAAATTTACATGATTTTTTCTAAGTGTGTAGATTTTCAGGATGCCGTCACTTTGAAGAACTATTAAGATAATTTTAGAAACAAATTCCAACCCAATTTTGAGTAGGATTTTAGAATTAAATCGAGAGATTGATAACGCCATGGTACTTGAGAAAAAATGTCTATGAACTCGAAAAAAGCTTTGACTTTGTAGGTCAAGTGAATTGTGTAGATTCATAGTAAATTTCATGTAGCTTTGTGGACAATTCAATGACCATTGTGAAGAGGATTTCTAGATAATTTTAAGAAAGATTCCAATTGAATTTGTAGAATAATTTAGAGAAAAACTGATTATTCTGAGGTGTATTCTAAAGAAAATTTAGGCGAATTAAAAAAATGGAAGGTTGCTTCAATGAATTCATAGAAAAGCTTACCATTCGAAGAGATTTTTTAAAATTCTTTATTATAGTGATTTTTAGCCGAAGGCTAGTTCATCTCTTAGACATTCGAAGAGAATCTAAGGTCGAATTTCATTAATTTTTCTGAATGTTCTGCAGAGAATTTCTGGATTGGTATAAGAAATTTTCAAGGGACTCCCAGAGAGAATTTCAACTTTATTTGAGAAGGAATCTGAAAAGAACTGTGTGATGAAAATTGAGTTTAAAGGAAATTCTTTAAAGTCATCAAATAAAATCCTCTGAAGATTTGAGTGAATTTGCATAGCCAAATTTTGAAGACTTCGAACGCAGAACCAATTTCATGATCCAGGAAAAATGCTGCAGTAATGATTTATTTAACCTAGTGATTTCTTCGGTTCAATCGCATTTGATTTTATGCTTAATTTAAATGTACATCGCACAACCGGCAAAATTTCCAAAATTCCGGGAAAAACGGGAAATAACCGAGAAATTGCTAATCAGAATTGGCTGGTTACCATGTTGATTGATTGATTAACTTTTAAGCGATTTTCAGCCGTAGGTTATCATTAAGGATGGTGTCAGAATTGTATCCATATCATCATTAAGTTTGTCGAAATTCCTTCAGAGTTGCTTTAGAATCCCTGGAATTCTCTTTAGTTCTCCTGACAAAATTCGTGAAATGCTTCTTGAAATTACCTGGAACTTCTTATCAAATTCCAGTGGCGTTTCCTTAACCTCAATCTACCTGTGCACCAACTCTCAAAACATAAACAATTATCAAAATATTGCTTGCAAAGGATGGATATCCAGTAAACTAGTGGTGGTATGCTCCAACCGATATTATCCTCGGATTTATCCCGATTAAGAATGTCCGACTGCTTTGATGTTGACATCAGAGTTAATCAACACGACAAACATTTGGTATATCATCCAAACAAGGACGGTATTGAAAGTTAATCCGAGTTGGAGCTATGAGTATCACTTCCTTATCACCGTGTAGTGACACCCGTACTAAGACCCCCTATTAATATTTTTGGCTTCCAATTAGGGGTAAATTTTTAACCTAGCCATGTGCTCATTTTACAATCCAACACATCGAATCGTAGAACTTGAATAAACAACATTTGTATTAACCTACCATACTTTCGTATAACAAATCCTAATATCTGTTTCCCTATCCTTAGATTAATTCGATTGTAGGATTTGCTCTGTTATTGTTTGTGTTCAATTTATTCTCACTTTTTTTTTACCTTTGTCAACACACTTTTTTACTGATAATCTTTTTGCATCCATTCCTACACTTGCAGTGATCACAAACCTGGAAGCTTCATACACCGAGTACGGGGATAGCGAGCAACAGTTGAGTTGCTCAGCTCACAGCAGCAGTAGCACCAATAGTAGCAGCAGCTATCGTGCTGGCAGAACCTTCACAAGTCGAACGGCCGATAAAGTTGCTGCTTCGACGCCGGACGGCACGACGACAGTAACCTCCGCGACGACCACGACGACGACTATGCCTCCTCACACAAACAATCCCCACTATCAGTCGCAACAACAACAGCAGCAGCAACAACAGCAACAACAGCAGCAGCAGCAGCAACCGCAACAGCAGTCACAGCAAGGTCAACCGCCACAGTCACAACAGGTGCAATCCGGAAATGCGCCACCAAATGGCCACAATGTAGCGGTGAACGTTAGTCGAGGATCGGGCGAACAGCAGAGCGTTGTTGCTTCTGCCCATCAACAGATGTATCAATCGCAGCCGATTTCGGCAGGTTACATGGCCGGGGGTCCTCACGGGAATGCTATGTACCCGATGCAGGTCATTCCTCAGCATCTTCCGGGAAATGTGTACGTTAGCAATCTGACAGCCAATGTGAACGTGCATGGCTTCATGCCACACGGAATGCCGCAGTATATGACTGCAACTGGAACTCCCCCGGCACCCTCGGGAGCTTACATTTCCGGAGAAATTCCTTCCGGTCATGAAATGCAAGTTATGACCCCTCGGGGTGATGGTCGCGGAATGAGGCGAAACGGCCGTAGCAACCGGATTGGACATAATGCCAGACCGCGTGGAGCATATGTTCCACATCACATCGCACAGCACCAGACTGTGATGCAACAGAGTCAACCGGGAGGAATCCATCAACAGCAATCTGGACAGCAAGGTCAGGGTCAAGTACCACAACAAGGAGTGCAGCAATCACAGCAGCAACAATCACAAAGTCAGGGTCAAAATCAACAGCAGAACCAACCATCACAGCCACCTCAGCAACATACTCCGGACATCGTGCAGCATCCCATGTCCATGGAGCATCAACAGATGATGAGTCCAGCTCCACCGTATGGCGGCTACAATGGAGGATACTACTTCTATCCGCAGTTCTACCCGCCCGTTCCGCAAGGACATCATCCTTCGGCACAGCATGCGGCTGGAGCACCAATTTTCCAAGTCCCCATGTACTCGGCTGCTCCGGTCTATAGCTATTCACCCGGTGTTATGTATCAGCAAATGTATCATCCAGAGTATCCTATGTATGACGACAAAGGAGACGAACACAATCCACAACAACCTCCGGAAGAAGGTGTAATGCATTCAGGCATGTGGCAACCACCGACCATGCTGGAGTACAATCCGGAGACCGTAGAGTTTATCCCACAAGAGGATGACGGCAGTATGATGCAACAGGAGCCGCCTCCAATGCAGCAAATGACACACGTACTTGATCCGAATGTGCCCAACTTTACGATGGGACCTACCACACCGATCCAAACGGAAGATTACGGATCAATGACACCGGCACCGTCAGATGAATACAATGCAATAAACAACAACGCAATGATGTCTCCAGCTGCCAATCTGATATCGTCTCCCTCGTCAAATGCGTCATCCCAGAATAATTTGAACCAAAATGACATGTACCTTGTGCCACAGCCACCTCAACAAGAACCTCAACATCATCATCAACATCAGCAACATCAGCAGCATCAGCAACATCAGCAACATCAGCAGCATCAGCAACATCAACAACATCAACAACATCAACATCAAGAACAACAACAGCAACAACAACAATCGCATGCTCCGCTAATGGAAATGCCTCAAGAATCAGTCATTCAGCACGAACAGCAACAACCATCACCGATGGTGGATCATGAGAACAACTACATCATCGAACAGCCGCAGCAACCACAATACAATCAACCAATGTCACCACCGCCCCCTCAACACTCACACATTCATGCCCAAGTGGCACCTCCGATGGAGAGCAACTATAATTCGGAACGACCACCGGTACAAGCACAAATTCAGGAACAGACATCAATGTCAATGCAAACCATTGTCCAAGATACAATGCCAACGCCAATGCAACAACCTGTGCCGATTCCCTCTGCAGTCGCAACAGTAATATCTCCTACACAAATTCCAGTTCCATTACCGATAACAATAACCCATGTCCCTCCACCCCAGCTCAACAAACCACCTCCGCCGATCCCGGTTGAATTTCTGAATATGGAAAAACAACAACTACTACTACAGCAACAACAACAACAACAACAACAACAACAACAACAACAACAACAACAACAACAACAACAACAACAACAACAGCAGCAACAACAACAACAAAACCAACAACAACAACAGCAACAACAACAGCAACATCAACCAATCGCTAACGATAGTAACAACAATCCGAAGAAAAAAACCAACGAGGTTGCGTCGGTGGCCACTCCGGCCATCGTCGCCGTAGACAAGACCAGTGAAACGTCCACGAATAGTAGCAAACCAGTGCCAAATCAGCAACCGCAACAACATCATCATCAACAACAGCAGCAGCAGCAGCATCATCAGTCGCAAGTCTTTGTAAATAGTAACAAGAATCAGACCTCAACCGACGAAGTAGCAAGACTAACTAGGGCAGTTCAGGATAAATTCGTCTTCAAAGACGATCGTCGCAATGGCCCCTACCGTGGCTCCAATACCTGGGCTAATTCGGGTTCGCAACCACCGGCCACCACAATCTCTTCGTTTACGTCCTCTACGACCACAGTTGTACAGCATAATAGTAGCCAACAGAAGAAGACCACCGCGTCGGTTTCCGTATCAGCCATTCCGAACAAAGAATTCCCCATCAGTAGCAGCAACTCGTCGGGTCCGTCGGTCACTAGTTCTACTAAGCCTTATCAGAAAAATACCTCGCCCGTTCCGTTTACCACTCTGGGAACAACGTCTGCTCCTCCGTCGATGCATAAGCAGCCACTAGCACCGCAGAAATCCTTCAGCAGCTCCACCGAACACCACCACTCCATCCCGGTCAATCCAGGTCCGGTCATGGAGTCCAAAAAAGTGGAAGCTATTCCCCAACGTGACATCCAGATAAATACCCCTCTTCCACCGCCAGGTCCGCCGCCGCTTCTGTCGGTGCCACCTCCGCAGCCTCCGTACACTCAGGGACCAATCATCGTTCCGACACCCTACGCACCGCCACCACCGGTAACGACAGTCGCAGCTGCTCCCGCTGCCAAGTCCTGGGCCAGTCTGTTCAACTCATCCTCCTCGTCTAGTGGGTCCACTCCGCCGTCGAGCAGCATCGTCCAACCGATTGCAACACCAGTCCCGGTAGCACTGGCCGCTGGTCCCGCCCTCCCAACACCATCCCCTTTCGCGCCCAGTTTCATCCCCAATTTGCAACGCGGTAGCCAATCGTCTGCGACTTCGACGCAATCAACCGATGCACCCCCACCAACGGTCGCATTGAAGAAACCGGTCGCCAAGGTGCTGCCCTTCGACAAAAACAATAGCGGTGGCCCAGCTACGTCGGCCATGTCCTACTCGGCTGCCTCGGCCCAAGGTCTTCCATCTGCTGGCCATACGACCTCCTCGACCTCCACAAGTGCCTCGGCAGCCAGTGCCAGCGCTGGCTCCAAAAACAACAAGAACAACGCTGCCGCCCAGGCGCAAGCCGCCGCCGCCGCTGCCAAACCAGAACAACTGGATGAGAATACACTCAAACTAGGGGGTAAGAGCGATTTGTGTTTTGCTTTATTTTTTGGTTTTCTTTCCCGGTTTCTAAATTTGCACAGATTGCATTTATGTTTCCATTTAACTCTTTTTTTCATCTTCAAAATTCAAATTATTCTTTTCCTTTTCAGGCTTGTTGAAAATATTTATTTTATTTCTTCTAAATTTTCAGACACCAAATTTTTCCTTCAATGCCCTACTTTCCCCTAGGAGAATATTTTTACTTCAGCGATTTTTGAACGCGAGTGTGGAGCTTATAGCAAGCACACCACACTTCATCCCTCGTGTCCAGGGTTCAATTCCTGTTCATTCCTGTTACTACCCACAAACCCCCATTCTCCCTCCCTCCTCTATATAGAGTCACATGAAGTCAGCAAACTGTTCTCCCAATCTCCATAGAACAATATGCGTTACACATGTGGCAGAGTGACAGTGGTCCCCCCCCGGGCCGTTCACTGATGTTCAACCCCAATGGTGTCAGTCGTTCTGACTGATGCCGCCTGAACATATACCTACTCAGTGAACTCGTGGCGGGATCCTCGTTTCAGAGAGTTTGCCACTTGGTCTCCATCCGCTTGGCACTAGAATTGAAACAGACATTTTACTACTTTTTTCACCTTATCCCCTATTTAATTTTCAGTTTGTTTTCTTATCTAAAAATGTAGTGTTTCGAAAAAACCGCATCAACTAAATCTGAATTCCCTTTCTAAATGCAGAATTCCTAAGTGCATACCAAATCGAAAACAACAGCATTAGCATCCTGCCTCGGGGACTGATCAATCGTTCCAACTACTGCTACATCAACGCCATCCTGCAGGCCCTGGTGGCCTGTCCGCCGTTCTACCACCTGATGCGTGCTATCCGGTCGCTTCCGGCTGCTCGGAACAGCAAACACCAGAAGCCGTTCATAGATGCTATGTAAGTTCCAATGCATTCGGATTCGGACAGTAACCAAAAACGAACCCTTCTTTCGATTCCATAGGACCGCTCTGGTGGCCGAGTTCTGCACCCTGCCGCTGCGTTCCAAGGTGCTGCGTGACAAGTCCAAGAAGGACGAAACCCCGGAAATTCAGTGTGATTCGCCGATCGAACCGCTGATGATCCACAAAATGCTGAATCTTCTCCGGTCGGACATTTTCCAAGTCGAAGGTCGCCAGGAGGATGCCGAAGAGTTCCTAGGTTGTGTACTGAACCGATTAAACGATGAGATGATCGAGGTGATTTCAATGCTTCCGGCGGTGTAAGTCATGTTAATTTCAACAAATTTTCCCCTTTTTTACAGTTGATGAAACTAAGCAAAAACGAATCCTCCGACGTCAATGGTGACGATGCGGCCAACGGAGAAGTCCACCCCGACGATCAGGACGATTGGAAGGTAGGCTTAGTAGTTCCGATGGTAGAGGCGACATATTGCGAATCCTCTAGTGACCGGTTCGAATCCCCCTCACCCCACCATCCTTAAGCCGGCAGAGCTTGAGCTTTCAATCTCATAATCTGTGGCATATGGTGGGGATAGTGAACTCCCGTCTGTGTGTAAGATGATAGTCTCAGGAACTTACGATTCCTTATCATCTAAGATTGATGGGAAACAGTATGATTGTGGCAAAAGATTTTTATCACTAAACGGTATGATTTATTTCCTTTAGGTCATCCGTGGAAACCGTAACAAGGGAACCGTCACCCGTACGACCGATTTTGGCCGATCGCCGATGAGTGACATCTTCGGCGGAAAGCTGCGATCACGTGTGCACCGCGAAGGCGATCATCCCACCGACAATATTCAACCGTTCTTCACGTTGCAGCTCGATATTGAGGTAAGTGGCATAAGCAGAAAAATGAATGCGGTAGTACGGGGTCGATAAAGAAGAGCACCCAAACAAAAAGCTGCGTGCGTTTTTTTTTCTTTCGCACGTTTTTGCTGTTCCCCTTTGTAAAGAGCCGAGCACGTTGGCAGCAGAGAGGCGCTCCCGTTCGTTGTACGCTGCGAGAGTATTCTATTTTTATATTGAATAGGTGTAGAATTGTGCACCCTGTTTTGCGGTCGGGTGTTTGTATGAAGAGTATCCGTTTGTAGTGAACCATTCCGTATCTGCGTGCAGGTGTAGAATTGTTCTCAACGTGGTATTTTTGTACACTGAGCGAAATCTGAAGATTGATTAATGATCATGTTTCGGATGTTTAAATCAAGGTTTATATTGCTTAATTGAATGCCCGCAACAAAATCCAACAATGGTAAGCGAAATACACTAAACGTTCGCTAACTGAAAGGGACTTTTTGAATATTTTCAAAATACCAGTAGAACAATGTTTCACCACCATCCAGCAACTTATTTTGTACAGTTTTTGTTTATTTGGTTCTACATCAACAGACTGGGTTTAGTCCTAATGATGGATTAAGCAATACTAGGAAATACAATATAGTCAAGAAGTAACAAGCTGCAAAGGTCGTGAAGTCCAACTTACAGGGCTGGTAGCAGGTCACTTTTTAGTGACTTGGTCACTATTTTAAAGCCAGTCACTGAAAAGTCACTTTTTTCACCTAAAAGTCACTAAAGTCACTATTTCTTAAAATTTAGTCACTAAAGTCACTATTTTACGACTAATAATGTCAAGAGTAAATAATATGCCTTTAAAAAATGACATCAAGTAAGTAACAGATTGATTTAGCAACAAATTTGTGTTAAAAGATTTATTAAAAATCAGCGTGTAAAGTCCGACAAAAAAGAGTTGCGAACTGTTCAATTGGTGCTGATGGAATCACTAATATTTTTATTTTTTTCATCTTCGTGATCTTGACATTCAGGTCCGTTATCTTCGATTTTTTCCAGACCAGATTATACAATTTCTAAGTTTTTCCTTTGCCTTGTGATCTCGAAATAGTCAACATTTTATCGCAAATTTCAGGGGTTTCGATAAAAAATCTGATTCCAACATCCTGGCTTCTTTACTTCGTGATCTTGGAAGTTTTCCAAGTCTTAGTTATTTCGAATAATGGTCTAGGAAATTTTAATTGCGCTAGACATTTTTTTCAAAGACTATAATTTTGAAAAATCTTTGAAGCTCGGTATCATTAACATTTCATTTAGAAAAAAATCTATGCCCTAGATCATAAAATGTTATTTACGTTTCAAAAGTATTTAAATTCTTTAAGGACAGTGAACTTACATTCCATGTATTCAAAATATGATAATTATTCCGGGTCGTTTCTTAACTTGTTTGTCTTAAAGATTTCGAATGCTTAAGCGAAAAATTGGTCCAAAATCTCTAAAATGTATCCCGAAATCTATAATTTTTTTTCGATTTCCAGAGGTTAAGTCCGAGATGCATGGAAAATATTCTACACGGCAAATGAATCTGGCTCATATGTGAGTCCCGTTCACTAAAAGTTGCATTTGAGTAAATTTTTAATCAAATATGAGCAAATATCACACATATTTGAATAACATTTATTCATATATGAGTGACATTTACGCATCTTTGAGTAAAAAATGACTCATTCTTGTGACATACGTTTTTGCAAATTTAAGTGAACTTGACTCCAATATGAGTAAGATTGCATTCACGATCTTTCCATCTTGGAAAATTTTCCTCGTTCCAGAAGATTTCTTCTTGGACAAAAAAGGAATAAATTTACATATAAGCAACTCATTTAATAATAAATTCATAAATTAATAATAAAAACAATATTTTGTGTACTTTCATGATAAACCGTATAGTGGAAAACAATTTTAAAAAGAGCTAAATTTTCAAATTTGGGGTGGCATAAAACAAAAATCAAATTTGCATTAGCCATAATTATGGTTAACAGCAAATTCCAATTTGTAATTTCCCGGGGTTTTCCCCTAATTTTGGTGATTTGGCCGGTTGTTTTGAGATCGAAGAATTCATCATAAGATTCGTTTCGAAAAAACTTACTGAAACTTCCTTACATACTCCTTGCATTCTATTTAGAATTAGTCTGAATATTCCTTATAATTTTTATGCAATTCTCCTCAGAATTGTCATACAATTCTGCTTATAATTATATTGGAGCTCTCCACTAAATTCTTCTGAAAATTCGCTTGAAATTCTCCTCAGAATACCTTTAAAATTCTTCTCAGAATACCTTTGAAATTCTTCTCGAGATGCTCTTGGAAATAAACTTGGAGTTCTCATTAAACTCATCTCAGAATTCCTTTGGAATTGTTCCTTCAAAATTCAATTCCCTTGGTATTTATCGTGAGATCAATGAAACTCTCTTTAGAGTTCGCTTGATATTATCTTAAATTTTCTAAAAATTTCCTTCGAATTGTCATCACAATTCTTCTAAAAACTTATTTTGAATATTCATTTGAAATTAATCTGGAATCAGCTTCACAATCGTCAAGAATTTTCCAACAGAACTACCTGAAGATTCTACTCTGAACGTCTGAAGTCCCACAAATGACTGGGAGTTCTAGTGAAATCTTAGAGCTCTTAAAAAAAAAGATCTATTGGTATTTTTCTCTAAAAAACATTGTTGTTATCATTCTAAAATCTTTTCAAAATGTTCACAGTATTTAGTTCTTTAAAGTGATTGTATCCTGAAAACATTTTCCAGTCCAGGGTCTTGCAATTGTTTAAAGGTCCAGAATCTTATTTTTCCCGGTTTGTCATCGAAATTCACGGGCTTTTCTCGATTTTTTCCCGGTGAGTTCGAATTCGCGTCTTTTTCCCGATTTTCCTAACAAAAAAAAATTTTTTCGGGCAAATTATGGAATTGGTTAACCATTATTTGTTTTATTTTAAAGGAGCATGAAAAATGCTCAGGATGGGTTGTGATTGTGAGTTAATAAAATTTCTCGAAGTGGGTTGCAATCAACTAAATATTGTAACCATTTTTTCCGATCAATAAATGTCACTATTAGTCACTTTTTATTGCTTTAAAGTCACTATTTGGTCACTATTTTCGTTATTTTAGTCACTAAAGTCACTACTATTATATTACATATCCACTACCAGCCCTGAACTTAATTCCTAATTCTTAAAAATATATCACGGAATCTCTGACGCAGCGTCTCGCGTGCCAAGTGAAAATCAAATAAGGAAGCAACACGATTAGAAACCCTTTGTAGCCCATTGATAGCACCATACGAACTATAGTTTGTACGACGAAAAGGTATCCTCAGCATTGCGTTGTTACGGAGTGCTCGTGGTTGAACGTTGTCGTATCTCTTCGACTCCACAAAGGATCCAGGTGAATTAACTGGCACCGACTTTCGTAGCTTGGAAGGCGATGAGGATCCATCCAAGGCAATCTTCGAAGGGCAAACCAGATGAATCGTCGTTGAATAGACTCTACTCTTTGTACACTGTTTTGGTAATTGGGATTCCATACAGGGCAGCAGTATTCTAACACCGACCGGACGAGGAAGTAGTAAAGCGACTACACACAGTAGATGTCCGTGAAACTTTTAGCTATCCTGAAAATGAAGCCGAGCGTTCTGGATGCCTTGTCGATCACGTGCGAGATATACTGGCTGTATGTGAGTTGAAAATCTAAGATGACTCCCAGTTCCTTAATGTGATTCACACGATGTACGTCAACGCCTTCTAGGATATAACTGAATGTAATTGGATGTTTCTTCCGTGAAAACGTGATTACTGAACATTTTGTTGGATTTACAACCATGCGGTTCAGTTGGCACCAATTAGCAAAACCGTTGAGTCGGAGTTGGAGAAGGTGACAGTCAGCGATGGCTCGAATTCGGAGTTAGATTTTCATGTCGTCGGCGAACGACAGTCGTGGACCGTCGAGGACGAAATTGACGTCGTTGAAATACACAAGAAATATCAACGGGCCGAGGTGGCTACCTTGCGGAATACCCGAAGTGGCAGGGAACGAAGGAGATCGGCAGTCGTCGATTGCAACTTCCAACTGACGATCAGATCGATAGGATGCGAACCATCGTAGGAGACTGCCGTTTATACCGAGCCTATCCAGTTTGGCGATCGCTATAGGATGGTTCAACTTGTCAAAGGCGGCTGCTAGGTCAGTGTAGATGACATCTGTTTGCATATGGTCTGTCATACTCTCCGTAATGTACGAGGTGAGACACAGAAGGTTGGAAGTAGTCGACCGTCCTGCCATGAAACCATGCTGGTCTTCGCTCAAGTGCTGTTTGAAGTGAGAGACTAATGGTTGCTTAATGACCAACTCGTACAGTTTAGATATGGCACACAACGATGCCGCGATAGTTGTCGATGTTTCTTTTGCATCCCTTCTTATGCACTGGAAACATCTCAGCTGATTTCCAGCAGGAAGGAAACACCCCTCTGGAGAGGGATATTTCGAACAGAAGGCAGAGAGGATCCACCAGGCTATCGATGTGTTCAGGCTTAAATGAAGACTTCAGTTGCGAAGCCGCCCTAGTTATCATAGCGAGGTCGATGTTGATAGCTGCCAAAGATTGACCAGACATTGGAACATTACTGGCTGCTAGAGAAACGTGCTTGTCAGGTAGGTTCTCATACGAGAATAAACTCGCAAATTTGGTGGAGAACAGACGGCAAATATCCTGAGGGGATGAAGCTTCTTCGCCGTTCAGTGCCATAGTCGATGGAAGGCCAGACTCCTTTCGTTGCTCATTCACATAATTCCAAAAAGTTTTCGGGTGAGATCGAAGCTTCCGTTGAACATCTCGTTGATAACGCCGGTAACATTGGCGACTGATTCGTTGATACGCATGATTGATCCTCGCATAATAGTCCTTTAGAAGACTTTAACCTACGGAGTTCACTTGTTTGCCAAGGATGATGATTACCTTGTTTAGGAACTTTTTTCGGAACGTGTCGC